CTAAGCTACTTATGTCTCATCTGTTCATTTCAACAACCTTGGGAGGTGGGCTCAATTTATTACTCCCATATCAGAGAGGGGAGACTGAGGCTCAGAAAGGTTTAGTAATTTTCCCCAAATCACACAGCTAGGAAGTTGCATGCCAGGACCTGAATTTGAGTCTTTCTGACCCTAGATTCCTAATTATTACCCTCTACCCCAGAGGATTCTCACCTGTAGACATAGACTCTCAAACCTGCGACTGGACTCATGGTGTATGCACAGAAAGCAAACACTCAACGACGTGGACATACCCACTCACAGGTGGCACATATATAAAGCACCAGTATTCAGGGACACTCGTTCTCAGAGAGTCACCTCTGAGCTCTTGCGTACCACAGATGTGCACCTACTCCACTTCTGTGGTGGTTAAGAATATGGGTCGTGAAGCTGGACTGCTTGGTTTTGAGTCCAGCTCTGTGTCTTCCTAATTGTGATCTATTCTGCCTCAGTTTCCACATCTGTCAAGTGGGGATGATGACGATAGTAAAACATAAGGTTCTTGAAGATGAACTCAAGTAACATGTGTAACGTTAGCTCCTGACAGAGTGCTCTTCTCAGCGTCTGACCGTAATCATCATCATGTGATGCATGTACAGACACACCTCTGTTCCAGGTGCACAGGCAGCCATCCACGCATGTGTGTGTGGACAGAACCTACCTCCCACTATGTGCCTCTGCAGGAATGAGGACACGGTGTGTGCTGGAGGGGAGCCTGGGAGCCCCGAGGGCTGACTGACCCCTGAGTCCTCTTGGCCAGCTGGGCTGCCCCCATGGTGGTTCAGGCTCTAATTGCTCCTTGGTGGAGCAGCAGTGACCTTGGTCAGGAGCCCCAGTTGCAGCATTTGACGTCTGAGCTGCTGGCATCTGGGAGAGGCCTGTCAGCAGCTGTGGGTGGGTGCAGGCCCCGGGAGCCTCCCCCAGAGGCCCAACTGTGTGACTCACGCCAGGGCTCCCAGGAGGTCTGCGTGTAGCTAGGTAGGCACCTCTGCCCCTGTTCAGCCACGCCTGCCTGGGCAGTAACTGAGCCTGTCCACCTTTGCTTCGCGGAGGTGCCTACAGCCCAGCCAGTGGCAAGCTCTTCTCTGCAGGGCCTGGTGCAGGAGGGACCTGAGACTTGAAGCCACAGGGCTGGAGTGGAAGTCCAGGCCAGTGTTCTCGGGCAAGGTCGGCAGGTCCACAAAGCCGTGAGGATGGTTGAGAGTCTCAGCCCCAAGTCTTGGGAGTGCAGCAGGAGAACAGGATCCTAAGTTGCTGCCCTGGGGTGCGATGATCACAGTCAGCCAGTAATGTGGCCCACGCTCCATAGAAACTTGTGGTGCAACAGAGATTTTGAGGTGGGAAGGACTCAGAGACAGCCCTGGCACCTCCAAGGGGCACCCAGGTGGTGTGAGGCGCAGACCATCGTGCCGCCCTGCCCATTGGGCGGCACCTCGGCCACACTCTGGGCCTCTCAGCAAGTCCCTGCCCAGCTCACCCTGAGTGCCAGGCCTATGCAACAGAGGTAGGAGGAGGGCCAGCCCTGCCCTGCCCCTGGGAGATTCTCTGCGCAGACAAGTCCAGATCCATCCCTCCATCACCGATATCTGGCTCCTGGGGGGAGGGAGAGAGCAGAAAGTACATGGAAGGTTCCCAAAGGGTGAAGTTAGGAGGGAGGGGAAACGATGCCACCAGCAGAAAAGAGCCCTAAATCCTGGGATTATGAGGCCCTTGGAGACAAGGAGAAAGGTCCATGCAGGGCCCTGGTCTGGAGATGGCCATGGGAAGAGGTCAGGAGAGGGGACAGCAAGAGGTCAGCAGGCTGGTGGGCTTGCTTCACACATGTGAGGACACAGACAAGCTTGGATGGGACTGATGGAGAAATCCCCTGCAAGCCCTCCTGGTACCCATGGAGGGGCTTGCCTCCTTCAGCTCTGCTGAGGATGACTTTGGAGCCCAGATTCCAGAAGTAGAGGGCTTAGGAGACAGTCAGCCCAGCCGTCCAGGAGATCACCAACTCGCCTTCTTTCCTGGGAAGCCATGGGGTCACACAAGGAAAGGAAAGACTGTGCTCCCACTGAGACAGCAAGTAGGTTGTTTCAGAGGGTGGAGTTGGCGGTGGACACACCTTGGTGTAGAAAGAGAGGCTGAGAGGGGCTGGGCATGGGAGAGATCTTGGCAAATCCTCCACGAGACACATGCATCCAAGCTCCGCTGTTTCTCCAGGCACATCCCTGTGCTGTCTGATGACGATAAGGTCCCTGGCCCCAGCCTGGGCCCATCCTGGGGAAACCCTCTCCTGGGAAGAAAAGCTTCCCTTAGAGACTAGGCCTTCAGGGCACTTCCTTGGCCTACTGGGACTTGGCTTGGCTTGGCTTTGGAGGCTGGAACTGGTCTTTCATCTCCCCGGACACAGTTTGGTGAGGATCTGGAGGGTGTGGTAAGCAAAACCTTTGAGCTTTTGGCATTGGGACCTGGACCTGGGCAGGCATGTGAGGGCCTCAGCCTTCCAGACCCTCCACAAAGTGACTCCAAGTTGGGAATTGTGGTGCCTGCTCTTTGGGGCTCTTGGAGCTTATCCTGTGATCGGGAGGTTGGGGAGGGACCGCTTACCCGGAGTGTCTCAGAGGGCTTCATCCTTATATGCCAAAATCTGTGGTGGCAGGTGCCCAGTGGGCTTAGGTTTTGTTCTCCAGACTTGACTGATGATGGTGGACCTTCGATTATGAACCTTGCTGATTGCTGGGTAGGGGTGGCATTAGTGAGTGAGTGAAACCCGCTCTGGCTCAGTTGAACAGCCCCGGAAGGTCACTGGCTCACCGTAATTAGCAAGTCCAACAGGGCAGTCTAGCTTTAGCACACCTGCACCCCAGGGTCAAGTGATGGTCAAGACTGACTTTCTCCATCTCCTGACTTTGTTTTATTCACTTATTTATTGACTCTCAGGACGTCTCTTCCCACACACCCCTGTGATTCCTGGTTAACGTGGGATTTAGGGTTCAGGTCGCCAGAGCACCCAGGTCAGTTCCTGGAAAAGCCCCTGAACCATTATTACAGTGTCCGGAGAAGTGGCAGACCAGTCAGAACGACTCCTGTGGCCTAGGAGGCAGGGCCACAGGGCAGGAGCCTCTACGAGGTCGGGAGCTCTGTCCCGTGACCTCCAGTCGGGCTCTGTGGAAGAACACTGGGCCCGGGGCCTCTTGGCAGAGACTGTTGGGGTTCCTGAGAGTGTTCCCCCAGAGCCTGCGAGAAGGGGAGAAAGGCATCCCAGGCAGAGACCCCTCTGGCTTCTTTGGAGTCTCTCAGCCACAGCCTCCTGAGCAGCTGTGCCGCTGTGGCCTGGGCGTCAGGGAGGATGGCAGTGCTGCCCCAGGCAGGTAGGCCCAGAGGGTGCACGTGGCCATGGGTGTTGTGAAGGTGACCCACACCCATCCCACTTGGGGGAAGGACAAGGGAATTGACCTGAATCTGGCAGAGGGAGGGAAAGAAGGCATCTATCCCAGGTTCCGGAGGGGCAGTGACCCAGCTAAGGGCTCGACCACAGTTTTTTTTTTTTTTTTTTTTTTTTGAAGACTTTGGTTTTTTTAGAGCAGTTTAAATTCCCAGGAAAATTGAGTGGAAGGTACCGAGGTGTCTCATATACACCTGCCCCCACGCACGCACAGCCTGCCCCATCCTCAACCCCCTTCACCAGAGTGGTGCATTTGTTACAACTGATGAACCTGCATTGACACATCCTAGTCACCCAGAGTCCCTAGTTTACATTAGGGTTCGCTCTTGGTGCTAGACGTTCTGTGGGTGTGGACAGACGTATAAGGACATGTATCCAACATTATGGTATCATACAGTTGTCATGGTGTTTCATAGGTTTTGCAGAGCTGCTCGCAGAGTGTTGTGGAACTTCCTGGAAAGGGTGGGGTGCAGTGGGCATTCAATACTAGACCACAGGCTGTTTGCTCTCCCAGGCCTGTGACGTGGGGCATCAGAAGTTGAAGACCTAGGTGCTGACCCTGGGTGCGGAGGTCCTGTGCAGTGGTGGGACTTTTGTCCTCCATCCCTCTTCATTGCTGTCACAGCAGCCCCCAGGCAGCCTCTACCACCTCCCAGGGCTGAGCCTAGCTGGGAGCGCCTAGAGGTCCCCTTGTGTCCCTTCTCAGGCAGCCACTCACTGCTGTGGCCACGTGGTGATGGGGCCTCAGTGCTGGCCAGGAAGGAACCCTGGGGTCTCCTGACAGGCTACAGTCCAGGTTTGGAAATGCTGAGCTCTGTCATGGACAGAAAAGAGGACTGGTGCCACCAAGTTTGGAGTACTTTGCTCAGCGTTTGTTTGAATGATGAATGAACGAGCCAGCAAAGGGGAAAGAAAATGAATGAGCCGTTATCACTTGGCCACAACCCTCAAGGGTCACTCAAGGGTGCAGTGCCCACTTACTGTGATTGAGTTGTCGACATACCGAAGGGCAGCTGTGAGTAGCACTGATGTGAAAATACCACTGACCCGAGGTGGGAAGCCGGAGCAGTGACCATTAGAACGTATCTGTGAGGCCTTTACCCCCAGGTGCCTTTAAAAGCAGAGAAAGTGGTCCAACTCCAGGTCACACCGGTGGTCCTAGTGGGCTTGAAAGACCCTACACCATCTCTGTGTTTGGTCGGAGCTCCCTTGACCTTTCCTGCAAGGTAACTTTCACGTGTTGGGCATATCATTGTGTCAATTTCATTTTCAGTTTTTTTTTGTGATCAAATGTCTGCGTGAGTGGATTGCGACCCATCAGGCCCTCTTCCCAGGGAGCGTGTTGGTTTCTTCTTTCTCAGCGAGGAGCCTGGGCTCCAGGAGGCTGGACGTGGGCAAGACGTTTGCCAGGCACCCAGGCCGTGTGGCTCTGCACTCTCCCCTCCACGCTGCTCCTTCCCTCCTCGTCCTGGCCCCATCCTCCTCTGCCATCTGCTGGGCTCTCATGGCTGCTCTCCTGTCCCCACTGCAGGCTGGTGGTTCGTGAGCACCTCTGAGGAACAGGGCTGGGTCCCTGCCACCTACCTGGAGGCCCAGAATGGTACTCGGGACGACTCAGATATCAACACCTCCAAGACTGGGGAAGGTAAGCTCCTGTGGGTTCAAGGGGTTGGGGAGATGATGCAGCTTTCCCACCCTTCTCCCTAAAACCATCAGAAGCTCTAAAACGATATGGATCATGTTTCCTCCCTGCTTCTCCCAGGATCCCGTGTCACTGAGGCCAACCCACAAGCTCACCTCCTATGCCAGGTCTGTCCTTACTGGTCCCACATGGGGTTAAAATTAGAGGGGAGATTCCCGTGGGGTGTGGATCTCAAGCTTTGGCAACTTCGGGGCAGAGATTGGGGAGAACGGTCTTAGGGCTGGTCCCTCTCTCCACCAGCAGGCCTTGATTTCTCTGGGGGTCCCCACAGAGATCCACCTTTGCCCCCCTCACCCCACACTGTGCTCTCTGCGACAGGGACGACCCCAAAGGGACTGTGTGCACACAACTTCCTGCCGTGCACAGTCTGTTCAGAGGCCTCTCTTCCAGGTGCCTGTTATCCCGGTCAGGGGTGCAGATGTGGAGGGCAGGTCTGTGGATCATTTCTCAGTGTTGCAGGAACCCAGGGATGGCTCCAGCCCCTGCACCGTCAACCTCTCTCATTAGCTCTGACCTGGTGAGGTTTTTCTGGGGTTTTCTCCAATGCATTTCAAGGAGCCTGCCCCTCCTCCCAACCCCAGCCAGCATTGGCCTGGTCAGCCTATCCGTGGACTTGGGTATTCCCCAGAGCGGGCTGCCAGAGCCCAGCGAGTCTGAGCCACCCTGTTCCCCGCTGCCTGCTCCTAGTAACTTCCAAGCCTCCCTTATTCTGGCAGCAGGAA